GGAATCTCTATCCTGATCTCCCACCCATTGATTGCCCCTCAGAACAGAGACCTTCCTGGTTTTAATCTCTCAGATGGGCATTAGCCTTAGCTATGCTGGTGAGAGGCAATTTTCATATGGCCATTCCCAGAGTCAACTCTCTTGCAATTGGATGAGATCAGTATATTGAGCTGTCAACCTGGCTGAGCCTACATGTGACCCCAGATTTAGGGAATACACAGCAGAGAGACAGCTGGAAAGTCTATCTTCAGTGCCCAGTGATTTTCACTGCAGCAAAGGCAGCTGACTTGAGTTTATACAAAGCAGCATGGCTGAGGTACCACAGGGTCTGGGTGATTCGGCTACTTCAGTGTGCAAACGGAGGCCGTGCTTGCAACAGGCAGCATCCCTTGTTCTGCAGCAAAGACTACAGATGGGAGAGCAAAGGTTTTCAGCAGCCAGCTCAGATTTGTCATCTAGGGCAGGATGTGAGCATATATGCACTCTCTCCAGACTTCCTACCACACTGCAGATGTGGACAGCAAAGAAAGAGGAACCACACATGTCTTATGGGGTTCACTCATGCTAACCTCAACCTCCTAAGAAGAGAAATGCATTTTCTTCCATACGCAAGATGTTCTCAGACCTACGACATTATTTTCATGATTTCTACCCTATCATCTCCCATCTTTCATTCTGAGAGAAGGTGATAAATCTTCCTGCTTTGCTTTTCCCACAAGACATCATTTTGCATCACCAGAATGGCTCTCTGTTCCTACAAGATAAAAAAAATAAATACGTTGGAAAGGAGCCTTCTTGGGACTCAAAGCTGTGGGAGTATAAGGACATGCTTCTGCTGGTGTTGGTGTCAGCAATTATTTGGGATAGACACCATTGCCACCCGGCAGGCTGCATTAAGTAGCAAAGAAGAAGGCACTCAGTATCCCATTAGGCTGCTCTGCAAATCCCCAGTGTTATTTAAAAAATGTTCCTGCTTCAAAATCAGCACCTCTCCCTCTAGTGATTCTGCGAATCCTGGATAAATAACTTCTCCCTGAAAAGCAACAGAAATACAGAGCATAGCCCCATGTCTACCCATCCTCACCTGCTACCAGCATCTCTTTGGCCAGATGCTTCAGTTGAACTTGCAGCACCATCTGTGCTGCTATTCCTTGACTTTTTGAGTTGTTAGTTTTAATGCAGAAATATATAATCAGCTGGAGATGATGCAGAAATAAGACAGAAATAATTGCTGCTTCTACCCTGTGGCAGAAGGAAAAGCTTTGTCTAACGGACTCGCCTATATACATGTACAAAAAAACTAAAATGACCTAAAGGCTTTCAAGGGGTTCAAAAATCTGTTACACTTGCAACCCAAATCCATAGAGATCAAGCTCTAGAGAGAGCTTTCCTCTTCCTCCCACCACAGTAGCAGCATGTTGCATAACAAGAAGTTTGTACTATTTTAAAATGTTGTATGCATTACAGATCATTATCACATTCCTACCTGTGCTGATAGGAGACATACCTGATAAGGAAACATTTCAAATTTGATGCCATAAAAGTGATTCACATTTACTCAGAGGTTGCTCAGTAGCAATAAAAAGCGATCATGCATTCAGCTGGCAAGGATGCAATATTCAGGAGCACTGCCCTCAGCAACAGCGTGCTTCCCGCTCAGCAGAGAAGAACCTGCAGTCAGACATCCAAAGGTGAATGATCTTTTCAGTGAAAAGCTCCTGGGATTCAAAGCTTGGTTACAGGTCATGTATAGATAATGAATCAAAACCTCCAAAAAGAGTTTTCTAATGCCCAGAGAATTCCTAATTAGGAATTCCTTCCTAATGGAAGATTTGGACCATTCACCCTGTAACTGTTGAGCCTGAACAGGGCTCAGGAAATAATTACTGCAAAAACCTGCTCCATCTGGCACGGCCTGCCTCAGTAGATGACCACATTGAAGAAATATCCAGAAAACTGGGGATGGGCAAAGTGCTCAGAAGACACTTGCAGTGTGGGAAGCTTAAGACAGAAGCATAGCTAAAACCCTACAATATCCACAAGAGCCACTCCCATGAACTGTGCTGTGATTCCTCCTCACAACCTTCTGTTGCAGTCATGCATGCCCAAGGACAACTGTGCTGTGCTGGGTCGGAAAGCAGTCATTCGGGTGGTCTAGCTCATCCGATTTCGTGAGCTGACAGTCACGTTGTGGCACACCTGTGTGACCACAGGAACGTCAGAATTTCTCAAAGTCATGGCCAAACTGAGACATTCACGTGGCTTAAATGACTGGAGGTCACCTGAGGCTGCTCGGGGCTGCTATCTCAACAGCAGCAGATAACATCTGGCAGCCCGAGCCACTCGCCAGCATGAGAGAGGTCAATGGGAAGCACTTTGATCACAGCTGGCAGCAGCTGGAAACTGCTAGAGCCAACAAGGTTGGGTTTTTTAATTCTTTATAAGAAAAAAAAAGCATGACATATGGAAAAAGCCTGAAAATTAATTGTATCTAGATCTGCTAGTTGGCTTTGTCTCTCACCCAGCAAAAAGGAATTGTGTTTCTAAGTGCAATTGCAATGGTCATTTGAAGATAAGTTGAAATGCCTTTAATTACCGTGGGAATCATAGAATGCACAACTATGAGCACTGCCAAATGGGGCTTAAGCTGTTTTGTGAGTGCCACTAGCTTAAATGACCATAAAGCGGGAATTTCAGAAACTACATAATTTGGGTTTTGTTTGTTTGTGGTATTTTTGTATTTTCAGTTGATTGGTTGGTTGGCTGGTTTTTATTTGAGGCACAATTCCAGTAAGACAGATGCAGTTTTGGCGGATAATCCGTTAGCATAACAGAGCGTGATTTCAGCAAATTATACTAATGTAGTCAAACAAGTTATAAACACACTCCCTAGGAAGCTCCCAGATTATAGCTCCAGAGCTTACAGTGGTAACTGTAAAGGCTGATGCTTTGCAACTGCTATACATCTGTATGCATCACAGAGGTTAAGGGATAAGCCTACCAGGCTGAATGACAATGTTGATGTGCACCTTTAGGGATTCTTTGTGAGCGTCCAAGTGCATAAAGCATGCAAGTAGCACAAGAGAAAAGAGCTCACACCTGTTCCCTGAAAGGAAGGGCATTTCTAACGCTCTTAAGAAACTGATTTGAAACTGGCATTTATGAACCGTATTTGTTCATTCTCCCCATCCCTTCCACTCCTTGCAATTTGTTTTTCTAATAATAATAAAAATTCAAAACAATCTGCTTGGTATAACTAAGTTTACAATGGCAGAAAAATACTCTGCTTTTGATGTGGGATGGAGCTAGGAAAAGCTCGGGGTGGTGTTTGCAGGTCAGCAGCAAGCAGCTATCAGAGGGCTGCTTCCTGGCACACTCCACCAGCCTGAGAAGGGTGCTCCTCGCCATTTTCTAGTGTGGTGTGTTGCAACACGAAGTGGCTGCGTCACTAACTGAACTGCTGCACGTTCCAGTCGGGATCTAAATCCAGGTAAATCCAGGAACTGCAGCAGGTGAATTGGAACAAGGACTTGACCCAAAGAGCGCAGGCATAAAGAAAGAAGTGAAAGCCTCAAACAGCACTGGTTTGAGTGAAGTCATTTGGAGAAGAGTGGGGATGTGGTCCACGGGTCTGCTGGGCACATGTGACTCTGGGTGCTTGTTTCTGAGGTCTTAGGATCCTGCAAGGTGCTGGGTAAAGATGAGAGGCCTCCACTTCTCTGGCACAGCCTAGTGAGACATGCTGCCAGCAATTTCTGGGCCAGCTCATTCTGGATGTGAGATTTCTTCGTTAACGAACCAGCAAAAGCAGTGTTCCTTCATGCATATCACCTCATCCCCACGAGCTTGCCGTGCCCCAGCTCCAGCTCTCACAAAAAGTTCACTCCAAATTCACCTGCCTCTGCTTTGTGAAATTCAGTGGTTAAAGCCGCACACAAAGCGCTGCTGGGACGCAGGATCCCGGTGTGTCCCCGTGACAAAGTGCCGCGGTGCGCCTCACCGACGCTCCTTTGGGCACGGCTCGGCCCTGCCGGCCCCCCCGGACGGGCTGAGAGCGAGGGGGGAAAGCGGCCCCGTCCCTATCGTCCCTTCTCGGGCCAGCCCTGCCTGCTCGCTTCCCACATCACCGCCGGGACGCCGCGTCCCCGCCGCCGGGGGGGGGCGGCGGGGGGCCGCGCCGTTCCCCGTGCCCCACCTGGCCGGGGCAGGGCTGCCGGCTCCTTGCTGGGGGCTCCGCGGCGTCCTCGAGCGCCCGGCGTGGTCCCGGGGGCCGCCAGGACGCCAGCGAGCAGCGATCACCGACGGCGCGGCGCCGCCAAGGTGACCCCCTAGAGCAGACCCCGGGCCCTCGGCCGCCCGCGCCCGGCCGCGGACACTTGAGAGTTTAAAGAGGCTTTTCTTCGCCGGGAGCGGCCCGGGGGGGAAGGGGAAGGGAAGGAGGGGTGGGCGGAGAGAGGCTGGCAGGGCAGGAGCCGGGCGGGGTGCTGGCTCCAACTGGAAAGGAACCAGTCCCAGCCCAGCCAGGGAGCTGCGAGCGAGCCGGCAGCGCCGGGGAGAGCGAGCCCTGGGCCCCGCTCCCGGCCCTCCGCCTCCCGCCCCGACGGCGCGGGACGGCCCCGCTATGGGCACGGCGCCCCGCGTCAGTCCCGCGGGGGTCGGCGGCTGCGGGAGGGCTGCGGGCTCGAGTGGGAAGCGGGGAGTGTCTGTCACCTGTCGGGCCCTGGTGGGATGAGGGAGGAAGAGGTGGGAGCACCGGTTTTCCGGATCTGTGATCCTGTGGGAAGCCCACCTCGCTCTTGATTTGTGTTTCAGGGTGGGTCTGTGAAGGCAGGGAAGATGCCAGAAGGGGAGAAGACGAGGCAGTGCAAGCAGGAAGCGGAGCAGCAGCAGAAGGAAGATGAGGAGGGCCTCATCGAATTCTATGGCTCCTACCAGGAGCTGTTCCAGTTCTTCTGTAGCAACACGACCATCCACGGAGCTATCCGCCTGGTGTGCTCTAAAAAGAACAAGATGAAGACGGCCTTCTGGTCTGTCCTCTTCTTTCTCACCTTCGGCTTACTGTACTGGCAGTTTGGACTCATCTACAGGGACTACTTCAGCTACCCTGTCAACCTCAACCTCAACCTCAACTCCGACAGGCTGACTTTCCCTGCAGTGACGCTGTGCACACTCAACCCATACAGGTAAGAAATGGTCTCCCAGAGCTTTCAGCTGCCTTGACCTCCATGGGCATAGGATACAGGCATATATTCGTGTTCTCTTCTTGGTCCTCAACTTGTAGAAGGGCAGGTGGAAGGGAAGCTTCTTGTGAGCCTTTGCTGCCACAGGGCATTCGTAGTAAATTGTGTTCATTTAAGCTGCTCTACCCGGTGGTGTGTTAGCGGGCTGCTCTGAAAACTTTTCCAAGGCAGAAGCAGTTGCACTTCCTTATCTCCTACAAGGAGCAGTGGCCTCCAGCAAAGGGGCTTGATTTTCAGCTGTCAGTGGGAATATCCTGAATCACCCCGTTAGACTCTGCCACATGTCTTACTCAGAACTGTTCATGCGCATCCAGCCCTAACCTGCAGGCTCCTCTCTCCCACTGTATAGGTACAGTGCCATTCGAAAGAAGCTGGATGAACTGGACCAAATCACCCATCAGACACTGTTGGACCTCTATGACTATAACATGTCCTTGGCACGAAGTGACGGGTCAACGCAGTTCTCACGAAGGCGCACCTCGAGGAGCCTGCTCCATCATGTTCAGCGCCATCCTCTGCGGAGGCAGAAGCGAGATAACTTGGTCAGCTTGCCAGAAAACAGTCCCTCGGTGGACAAGAACGACTGGAAAATTGGCTTTGTTCTGGTGAGATCCCAAGATGTGTTCTGAGCTACCCACTCTGACCCCTGTCTACCCACTTCTGCCTTGTTAGCCTTGTGCCCTTCCTCATATAGAGGGATTTTTGTTGCTGGCTTTTCTTGATGAGAGATGAAGGTGGAGTTGAAGCCTTTTCCCAACATATTACTGCTCCCCAGGTCCTGTCCCTATTCACGTGGAAAACTTGTCCGTTTGTCCGTGTCAGTGATCGTCTGTTCCTAGGTGAGACAGGGAAACCTTGTCCTTCCTGAAGGCTACATCAGTCTTTCAGAGCTATTTACTAACAGCCACAGCATTGCTCGGTAATTGCTGAGGGATGGCATTGCACGGCTGGGGCAATGTGATCATGGCCATATTTGCTCCTGGGCAGTATCTTCTTTGCCCTAGGGTATCGGTATTTGCATTTTAAAAGGCACTGAAGAGAATCATTTGCCAGTTAAGTGGAGTTCTCACGGGGTCACCAAGTTTCTCTGGACACACCCTGAAGGGAGGGCTCCCCATGATAGAATTTAAAGCTTCTGGTTTTATATCACATAGGTTTTATATACAGTAGGTCACACTGCACACCACACTGCAATTTGCTGTTTACAGTCTCACCCACCCATGCCTGCTGACCTGGTGTTTCGCTTCCATTGAGAGATTACTTTTCTTACTTTTCCCCATGCTACTGATTGCCTTTTTCTTGAGCACAGCAGTGCTGCAGAGCATTTTTGCTCACTCTGCTTTGTTTCTATACCTTGATAAGGGAGCACAGCCACCTCCTCTGGGACAAGACTTCCCTGATACAGCTGCTTTTTCATTCTCACAGTGCAGTGAAAACAATGAGGATTGTTTCCATCAGACGTACTCCTCAGGAGTGGATGCAGTGCGGGAATGGTACAGCTTTCACTACATCAATATCCTGGCACAGGTGCCTGATGCGAAAGACCTGGATGAGTCTGACTTTGAGAATTTTATTTACGCTTGCCGCTTCAATGAAGCAACATGTGACAAGGCGTAAGTGGTGGAAACAGCCCACTGTTTCTTTCTACTGACACCTGCGTTTTGTGCCTGGGTTCAAGGGGAATTCATGTTAGAGAACTTCTTTCCCAAGGGGGGGCTGTTCTTTGTTCAGGTCCCATTTTCTCAAGCAGTATCTCAAGTCTTTCCTGAGGGTTGTGTCACCAGGGTCAGACTTTCTGTGACCTGAAGCTATGGACCTCAGAGGGTGGTTTCTCCTTCCCTTGAATTTCACAGAAATGAAATAATTATACTGCTACAAACCACAAGTGTACAACATAGAAGGCTGGTGTGCATGCTGAGGGTAACATGCAATGCTGAAGTCATACATATCAGACCGAGAAGAAAGACAGTGAAAACAGCATTGCACTTCTCTCCTGCCATTATGATTTAGAAGCCCTAAAGAGGCAATGAAATTAAACCCATCAGCAAGGCAAGGAGTACAGAGAGCTAAGAGCTTTGTCAATATTAAAATAATACAGTAATTGCTGATGCTGCTAAAAAAAACCATCCTGGCTATCAAATACTAGCAGTACAAGAAAATGGATAAAAACCCGTCCAGCTCTAGGACATTTTTTACAGCAGATTTTAATTGCTTTTTCCTGTTCAGGTTAGTTTACATAACAAACACTGCCCATCTGCTCTAAGCCCCTGTCTGTGCAGGTGGAAAAGAGAATTGTTCCTTTCAGGAAGTTCTTGGCCTCACAGCTCTTCTCACCTGTGTGAATATTTCTGTTCCCATCACAGGAATTACACCCACTTTCACCACCCCTTGTATGGGAACTGCTACACCTTCAATGACAACAGCAGCAGCCTGTGGACATCCTCTCTGCCTGGGATCAATAATGGTGAGAGGCACTTTCAGCTTAGCTGTTTTCTCCAGGCAGGGTGTCCGGAAGGCTGGAGGAGTTACTGGCAGCCAGTGGTAGATTGCATCTCATCCCAACTCTGCTTTGATTCTGTGTCATGGGCATGGCTGTCCTTCACTGCTGTCTTACTGATCTCTCCCATCAGTGCCTGATCCTTATGTTCACTGCTCCCTCTGGACTTTCACTGTCTGTTCCTGGAGTCTCTGTTGAGCTCTAGCGCTGTCCTCCTGACAGTTTAGCCTGGACTTCCTCCTTCGGCACTTATAGTTTTGAGCAACTGATTTAACCTTTCTGAAGCCCTTCTAGGGCCATCTTCAGTCTTCCGTTCAATTCCAATTCTCTCTGTGAAATCTCTCTCCATTCCCAGATCTGCCTTTTCTAAGTATCAATTAAGAAATCCAGTTTTCCCCAGCCTCCTTGAGCCTCCAGCCTTCTCTCCGGTCTCCTTTCAGCCACACTCCCATTACCACTCAGCTTAGGGTCAACATTTCTTTCCCTTTACTTCTTATTGATCCAGATGTAACTATTCTGCTCTCTGTCCTTCCCCACATGATGGCCACCTGTGACATCTCTTGTTCTCTGACGTGTCCTCAGGCCTCTCTCTGGTGGTGCGCACCGAACAGAATGATTTCATCCCTCTGTTGTCAACAGTAACTGGAGCCAGGGTCATGGTCCACGATCAGAATGAGCCAGCCTTCATGGATGATGGGGGTTTCAATGTGCGTCCAGGTATTGAGACCTCCATCAGCATGAGGAAGGTGAGGCAGCCACGGCAGGGTTAAGAGCTGTGGATGTGGGCCTTCAGTGTGAAAGGTGTAACTTGGTGGATAGATACAGATGGGTTGTCCTGGACTGAAGGTGTTAAAGAGAGGGGATTAATCATCTGGAATGAAGCGGGGGGAGGTTTACCAGCAGTTTACCAGACTGGATGAGAAACATTTGGTTGCAATTCATGAGAGAACAATGAAACAGGGGTAAGCAGGGGGAGCTGGCATCCAGAGATAAGCATAAGGAGCAGGTAGTGATGAAAGCAGTGGGTCAGTGGGTGGCACAGAAGTGTAGAGATGGATCGACAGAATGCTAGTTGTTTTGTGAAATGACTTTGATATTCTAGGAGATGACTGAGCGTCTTGGGGGCAGTTACAGCGACTGCACAGAGGATGGCAGTGATGTGCCAGTGCAAAATTTGTACTCATCTCGCTACACTGAACAGGTAACCTGTGATCACTGGTTCCATGCCAGCTCCTTTCCCAGTTTTCCTGGAATGCTTCAGTCCCACAATAGTTGTGCTTATCTGTGGGCAATGTTAGTAGGATAATGTGATACAGGGCATAAGAGCTTTGGTTCCCCTGTTCAAACATTTCCATATCGTGTGCTCTCAGGTCTGCATTCGTTCCTGCTTTCAGCTCAACATGGTAGAGCGCTGCTCCTGTGCCTATTACTTTTATCCCCTACCTGATGGAGCAGAGTATTGTGACTACACCAAGCACACAGCTTGGGGTAAGTACTCACAGGAGAGGATTTATATGATAAATATTACACAGTAAATCTCATGCCCATCTGAACCTGTTTGGCCCACCTCATGTCCCAGTAACTCTTCATTGTTTTAAATGAGGCTTTCTGATACGAAACAGCCAAAAGACACTCTTCTCTTTGATAGTTAGTTCCTCTGAATGTGTGGAAGGAACTCTTTGGATTCCCTCTGCTGTTGCACATTACTTTCTTTTCATATAGATACTGTGAGCTTATCTGGATTTACTTTCTCTGCTGCTTAGGCTACTGCTATTATAAACTCCTTGCTGAATTCAAAGCTGATGTGCTGGGCTGCTTCCAGAAATGTCGGAAACCTTGCAAGTAAGTTTGTAAGTTACACTGGGAACTTTCTATTCCTAGGGATGTTGGAAAGCATTCACTGACCAGGACAAAAGCTTGAGCCACTAGCTGAAGTGCAGACCTAAATGATATTTCTCCCATCAGGAAGACAAAATGGCTGAGGAGCATCAGTGTCGGCTCCTGAAGATTGTGCAGAAGCTCAGTGGGAAGTGGGCACACCTTCAGCATGGGAGGGAGTTTCCAGGTGTGCCTGGGGACTGAGACCTAGCCTTGTGGCTCTGACCACTTCAGCAGCTAACACACTCCCTTGTCTTACAGAATGACAGAATACCAGCTCTCTGCTGGATACTCTCGCTGGCCTTCTGCTGTCTCAGAGGTAAGAGGGTAGCGTCCTGGCTTCACAGCACTGCTCTGAACTCAGGTTTAATCCTCCCCCTCAACTGGTTCCAAATCTACAAGAGGCGACTGCAGTCACAAAATTTATTGCACTTTCATTTCAGGATTGGGTTTTTTACGTGCTTTCACAACAGAACAAATACAATATAACATCCAAGAGGTGAGAGACCATTTACAGAGATTTTATCAAAACCAGAAGTAGTCCAGGTGGAAAAAGGGTGAATGGACTGGGCAGAGTTCAGATTAAAGCAATGATGGTGCATGGACTTGAGGCAAGGGCAGTGGACTTGAGTCACCAGAGAGAAACTGTGACTTCAACAAAGACTGGGAATCCAAGTGAAGAGTCTTACAGGGTTAGCTGCTAATCTGAAAAGAGTAACTCAAAGACTCCTGCCATATGGTTCAGAGTCACAGTAAGGGCTAGTGAAAGAGTGGGAAGGGAGAGCAATGCAGGAGTTGGTACTTACCAACTTATGACACAAATGCTGGAGTTCGCAGTGCAGTCTCAGAAGTGCACAATTGGTCCCTCAGATTTTCATAAAAACTGAGGGAACTCTGGAAATGGAGAAAAGATACTAGGTGGTATATGTGTAAGGAGCACAGGAAGAGGAAGGAGACAGAAAAGATGGCTAAGCTTAGTGAAGAAATGCAAGGACTACAGATTTAGCATTGCTCATACCCATTTTTCATTAACAGGAATGGGGTTGCAAAAGTGAATATCTTTTTTGAGGAATGGAACTACAAGACCAATGGGGAGACACCAGCCTTCACAGTATGTACTTTACCACACCCACCCATTACACAACATCTATCTGCATGGCAGGTGTTCATTCCAGCAGCACTGCTGACTCTCAAGTCTCTTCTGTGAAAGATGGGGAAAAACTCCCCAGTGCCGTGATGGTACTAGCAATGAGAACAGACAGAGAAGCAAAAGCCTCCAACAGATGATGCTCTCATCACTCCCTATTTCTTTCTCTTGCAGGTAGTGACTCTCTTGTCCCAGCTTGGGAATCAGTGGAGTCTCTGGTTTGGATCCTCTGTCCTATCCGTGATGGAGCTTGCAGAGCTGATTCTGGATTTCATTGTCATCACTTTCATCCTGGCCTTCCGCTGGTTCCGCTCCAAGCGGTGGCACGCCTCCCCAGCGCCCCCTCCAAGTAGTCATGATAACACTGCCTTCCAAGAGGAGGCATCAGGACTTGGTGCTCCACACCGCTTCACTGTTGAGGCTGTAGTGACCACACTGCCATCTTACAACAGCCTGGAATCACGCAGACCAAGCAAGGATGGTGAGACAGGACACGAGTGAGGCAGAGATTTATTTCATAATTCAGTTAGATGGCAGTTGGACCAGAAGCTGCATACTTTCTCTGTGGGACCTACCTTTCATTCTTTTTGGGATGCTCTGCCTCGATCATAGCAAAGACTGTATTGCGGTTAATTGCTTTTACTATATGTGAATCCTTCAGTCTTGTAAAACACTATTGCTCTTGGAATCACCAGGGATGAGAGTCAATCTAGTGTTTGCAAAGGGAAGATGTCAACTCAGCTTCCTTATAGTCTTTACATGTGCATACATTATTTTTTTCCTCTGCAACAAAGATGCCGCTACAGTTCTCATCTGTTATTAATTAAAGAGGTTTGGCAGGTGTGATTGACCTTCTCTGTAGTATGACAAGGCACCAACACAGAGTCTCAGCAGAGATGTAAGTCTCTCAGTAGGCTGAGCCTTAAACTTCCCCTGAGGCTGGAAACTGGTTGTTCTTCCCTACTTCTTAACAGCCAGCTCTGATCTCTAGACTGAGCCTGCACATCCTCTCCTCTCCCAGAGGAGAGGCTGCTGGCAGTCTCAGTCCATGTGATTCACAATAGTCTAGGGAGATTGCTGAAGCATGTAGCTGTTCTTAGACCAGGACAAAAAGCAGCCCATAGCACACTGTTAGAGCTTCACTGTGTAACAGTCTCCTTCCCTGTGATACACCATACATACATACATTCAGACGTTTGTTTGCCAGAGGGTTCAGGATGAACTGAACTCAGCCCAGAGTGGGCCCTCTTATTCTGCTAGGGATTATAAAACAGAACTGCTGCAGGCTTTGATGTAAGTTGCTTTCAGGGAAAGCTCTGGCCTGATAAAAAGATAATAGATGGTTACCTCTAGAAGAGGACCCTCTCCTCAGTTTAAAGAACAATTTGGAGATCTCAGCATACACCTTATTGTTTGCAGAAAGCTTGCCTTTTTTTTTTTCTTTAAAAAAAAAGTCTGCTGCATCTGTTGACAATGGTGTTTACACAGCACTTTACATGATGTCAAAGAGAGCAAGGGTGATGTCCTTAACAGACAGGAAAATCCACTTCACTGGACACAGATACCAGAATTCAAATATATAGTTTAGACAGATCCATGTACATAATCATACTGCAAGCAGCCTCCTCTTTTGGACTCAGAAATTAGTCAATCAACAAAGAAAAACTTAGAATACTTTTAAAATTTGAGGTAGATACCCCACACTTGGAAACCTGCAGAACTTTACAACTATGTATTGTTACCTAATTCTCCCATTTGATATGTTAAACGTGCCTGTTGCACAACTCTTGCCTTGATTACCTAAGTGCACTTTCCACTCTTCCTAGCTGCTTTTATTTCTCACAGGCATGAACACTAAACTCAAACCTTAGTTTTTCAAACTGTGTCTCAGTGCTGTGCTGGTCCTTTCTGTGTAAGTGAAGAAATACTGTTTTGCTACTGGGAATAGAAGCAGGAATTGGCAGGGTGAGGTGAAAGGGCATTAACTGTCATTGGCATCCTTGTTCCTCAGAATGGCAGGAGAGAGAGCACTGCAGCTTAGAGGCACAGGTACCGAGAAGCCTTCATTGTAAACAAACAAACAAAAGAGACTTCTACAAGTGTTTAAAAGAAAAACACTAAAACACCCACCCTAAAAGTTGACTCAATATAGGAACTTTTGTTTTCTGTGAAAACATGCTGATAAGAAGCAAAGTTAAGAGCTAGAACTACTGACTGAAACAAACAAACAAAAAAAACTTTACTGACAATTAAAGCAGTCTTGAATGATCAAAAGCAAAAAGAGGTTAGAATGCTGCACCCACAGCCCAGTTCCTGGTCATAAACTCAGTATTACTGATGTTTGCTTCAGGAAGTCACTGGTACATGAATGAGCAGAAGTGTGACACTGGGCACTGCCAGTTGTTTTACAGAGTCACCACCAAATCAAGAAAAGAAAGATTGGAAGTAACAAGCGCAACACATAAAGCAGTCTCTATACCAGAAACGTATGATTCATACACCAAGTCTGATCTTAGAAAATCAGAAAACTAAAGCATGAGTCCTCACATGATACAGCACCTTGTGACAACCATAGCATTGATGCAACCCAATGCATCACACATAATTTAGTAATTAAACAAAGATCAATTAGAGGCAGTAGATACTTGAAAGATATTTAAGGTCTCTTCAGATACAGAAGAAAGTGATAATTCCCTAGAGGAAGCTTGCACCATATTATCTCTTCTGCAGAAGTGGTGAAATTTAAAACATGAGCTTTGACTGATGAACTCAAAGTAATGGCTATAAATCCAGAACTAAAGGCCTGTACAAACATGAAGTTGCTATACAGGTCGGCAGCTGGATTAGCTGTACCTGCCCAAAGGATTAGTGCAAAAACTGCCATTGTGTGAGAGATCAGGCGATCCTCACAAGAAATTCCCTATGCTTGCTGTAAACAGACAATGCCATAAATTATCAGCTCAACAGATGCACAGTGAATTTGGTCTGGCTGATGAGAGGTGAGTTCAGCAGTGCTGGAATGAGTGCAGAAAATTGAGTGTTCCACTGAGCGCATGAAACACTGGAGAAAAGGGAAGAACACGTGCATTCAGAGATATTTGTTGAATAACGAGGGGAAAGCCTTCAACTTTCAGTTATGAATTTGTACAAAGGATAAAGTGATTAGTTACATTAACATTACAGTGCAGTTACTTAGAAGACATGGAAAACACACAAGGAAAACTGCTGGTCATAGGACACTGAAGAAAGGGAATTGATCTTTTTGGACTGGGAACACATCATCCTAGGAAAATCAGACATAGGGAAAAATGCCTAAAGGGGAAGGGAAGGTACGGAAGAGGAAATTATCTTGTGAACAAGTCGGAGCATGAAGTAAGAATGCTGCTGAAACATAAGGAAGAAGGATTTGAGCTCTTGGGATGTGGAAGAACCAGCTGAGACAGGGTATAAAGGGCCCAAATGTCTGGGGAACTGTGGTAGTAGCAAAAATTTGCAAGCTGATACAGTTAAAAGCATTTGGATGTCATGGTATGTAAGAAAAGGAATACACTCTAAGAAAATTTAAGGACACTAATTATTTTGGTGGCTCCGGTCAAATGAAAGAACCTGAAAAGAAGAGAGTGTAGTAGGACCAGGGAAATTGAAAGTAATATGAGAAGGAGGGGATGATCAGTTCAACCATCTAGCAAACAGGGTTTGAGAATGTGAGGGTGTGGAGATGATGTAAGACAATACCAAGGGACAACAAAATAAGAGGAGTCCCATACACAGGTGCAAAAAAGTTACAGGAGCATTCAGAGCACCCAAAGAGACTTGAACGAAGAGATTAGCTGAAGTGATGACATAAGCCAGGAAACTATGAACATGTGTGACAGGAAAGGCAGAGGTAAAGAGAAGGAAGACAGCAATATCTGGGGCAGGAAAGAGTTGCTGGGAAATTTTCAACATAAGTTTTTGTGTTTGGGCAAAGGGAAGTTTGAAGAAAGGACAGCTGACCAGTTTTGGAGAGCGAGCACAAGTCTGCAGGTTTGGCTAGAGACTCTGAGATGATGCCATCGATGGAATGGAGACTTCACGTGTTCTGAGAATAAAATCCTTCCTGCCCACAGCAAAAATGGGACAGAACTAATTGCTTGGTTGTGCAGGCCTGATTTGTACTGACATATGCGCTACTTTAACTCACAGGCCAGTACAGAATCCCTACTCTTCAACAGTGCTTTCATTCTTTAAGCAGCACTGCTTCAATTTCACTAACAGACACACATTGTTCTGATAGGTCTGCAATGAAGTTGAGCCTGGACAAAGATGCAATCAGAATGTTTTGATCCACAAGCTGCAGGGAGGATTGTTTACAACTTCAAAATTGTAATAGCAAGTGCAGATAAATGCACAAGTTTAAACCAAGTTCTGCCCATTTCTTCTTAATGAGTTTCAAGTGTACAAGTGAAGCAAAACAAGGGGGTACTTACCTTAATTCCAGCCATGCTCCAATCTATGCTGTGAGTATCATCCTGCTTTGGGAGATCTTCATTCAGATTCTGAGTACAGCCCAAAAGCCATCCCAACCCCAGTGAAAAATTACTGTCCAAATTTAAGGACCTGCAAGTAGGCCGTTGAAACCCGAAGGCAACACAGCCTGAGAAGTTAGAGCTACCAGCAACACATCCGTTTGGGGAATCACCTCCCTGTGCATTACACCAAAGTTGGACATGGTGGCTGGAAGTAGACTAGGCTTGAGGAACCTCTAGTCTGCATGTCTTGTTACAGACTTACCACTGAGTCAGCCACACACACAGTTCCAGTACCAGTGACAGCCAGCACCATGGCAACAGGAGACTGCTGCTTGCTTTGAGGATAGAACTTTCCTTATGTATATGGTAATGAAGTGACAACAAAAAAAAAACGTGTTCAAAAATGTGTTAAAAGCAGTCTGTGATCCCAGCCCTTCCCCACCCACTAACAGACCAGACAGACTCAGTAAGGTGATGAACTGTGTTTCTTTGAGACTGTTTAAAGTACATGAGTTGATTACTACAACATGCCAGAGATTACAGTTGTGTTTATAGAGGAAGGAAATAAATTGCACGTGCGTAATTGGCTGTAATGCTGCATACAGCACAGTCCCTTGCTCTTACTCAGAGGGCCTTGGTAAATTTTTTGCCCATGCATAGAGACACAAAGGAGGGGAAAGGTAGCAGAAGAGACAGCAACATACAACATCCAAGAGAAAGAAATGGAAGAGACAGCCTAAGGGGACCTTAGCCCCCAGAGGAATAGGAGGAATGGGGCACCAACGACTTTGTTTTGAGAAGTTCAAGAGAATTGCTGGTCTGGGGGCCTCAAGCTTGTACGCCCACCCCCTAGAATGTTAGCCGTAAGTAGTACAAAGCAGACCCTGGCTCCTCTTCAGCAGATGCACTTCTGACCGTCCATCACATCTCAGTTCCACAGAGAATTAGGGAAGTGCTCAGGGGACGAGGGCTGCTTCACTGCAGATCTTCAACTCTGCCCTCACCCAAGGTGGAGAGGGATGGAATTGCAGGGAGATGAACTCAGCGCAAATGAAATGCTGAGGCATGGAAGTGAGCATGCAAAACCTAGCCCCTCCCCAGACAACCTGTGAGGAGGAAAGGGGCTTCTCCAGCATACTCAGTGCAACAAAATGCATCTGCCCCTCCCATCTTTTGTACTTCCACCTGGGAATGCCAGTGATGTTTTCCCCTACATCCTCCTAAGCCTAGACAGAACTCTGTGCCTGAGGTAGAGCTTCCTCGACTAAAGAGCTGTTCTCTTTACAGTCCAGATTATGGGCTACAGCTCAGCTTGTAAAAAAAAATACACTCCTCAGAAAACTGCAGAAACTGTGGAACAGGACAGCTCCTTTAACCTCTGGTTTGACAACATATTTGAGCAATTCACAGCTCCTGCACTTTCTGAAAGCATGGGAGATTGCTTACAGAAAACCATGGCATTCCACACTAAGTTTATTTACAGCAGAGACCACTCCAAATCTAAGCTCAAGAGAACCCATTGCAAGTAGGAAGATTTCAGTTTTGTCTAGAGATCTATACTGCCAAATTGGGGCAACTAATGTCACTTTGCAATATCATGCCAGAGCAGCATTTCCCTTTGAATTCCTAAGTAATCACTTCAAATACTTTCTAACTCTTTCTAAAAGTTAGGGCTTTTGTGGTCAGAGAAGCAGAACAGGTATTCTTAAAAACCTGTGTGACTCAGTCTAATGTGGAGTACATCCAGTTTCCTTCACCTTCATCTACTACGTAGTGGACTTCCTTTGCCATTCAGCATGGTAACACTGGAAAGCACAACTCATTCTCTTTTCTGCTACTAACTCCAACAACTTCCAGAAAGATGCAAGACAGTAGAAAGCTGTAAGGTCCTGGCTTGTGTCTGCATAGATGAAAGGAATATTTGATGTGCATACACCACCACGATCCTTGCTGTTGGTAATTTATTCCTTCTGGCAGTAGATTTTATGCCCACACAGACCCTTTAGACAGCAACAAAACTCCTTTCAATCAACACGAAATCTGTTGCACTTCACTGAGATAATCACATTGACTCCTTTTTATTACAACTGAAATGTCCACATTCAAAGAGCAAGTAAATTTATTATAACAGGCAGAATAAATCACTTCCTTGAGTGCTCATCCCTGCATGACTAGAGAAATCTAGATGGCCGTCTAGCTCAGTCAGATGGATCATAGTCACTGACCAGCATAAACTAACCTTTATTTCATCAATTAAAAGCATACATCATGCTGCCACTCTTTATGCAGAGCAAAAGAATCTCACATGATGAAGTCCTGCATCCCCAAAGGCACTACATTAAGGCATTCTTTATTTGTTAGAGTTCACACAGGCACTAACTGAACAAGCTTACGCCCCAAAATAAGCCACAAATTCCCTGCAGAAGAGCAGGATAATAGCCACCCACTCCTCCTCTGCTTCCTATTCCTCTCAGCTCAGATGACCCTCTCTTAAGCTGCAGCTGTTGGGAAGTCTAACCCATGATCAGTAGAGCACTTCATAATCTTAAAAAAGACGACAAATCAGAACCAATAAAGTAATCAATGAAGAAGCTAGGTGGAAGGGAAGGGAAGATTCAGAGGCAAGAAGAGACAGGCAAGGTGACAGGGGATAGCAGGTTGCAGACTGAAGGGGCTACATTCAAGTAAAAAAGTAGACTGGACACAAAGCAAGAGGAAAAAAAAGGAAAGAACAGAAGGGCAAGTTACACCAAAGGTCCCCCAGAGACCTCCAAATCCCCCACCAGGAAAGGGGCTTGCAAACCCACCCACTTCAAGGTATCTATCCCTCATATTACAGGTTTATTTGACCTGATAATAAAGCTGTCTAATTTCTACGTTGATGACCACCCCCACTTCCTTTCCTTGCTCTGTAGAACATAGCATTTCCACAGTAATGTGGGAGTTCCAACACTACCGCTTCCCTTTCCCAAGGAAAGAAGTTACCACTTATGCAAACAAGACCCTCCAGATCATAAACCAAAAAAAGCAAAAATTTTAAAAGCACTCTGGAGCTAGGGCTTCTTCACCTGTGATCCTGGGCTTTTCAGTACTTACTTACAATCACCACCACCACAATGGCACAAATCACTCCCATCATGATCATCATCTAGAAAGAGAGATTGTCAGATAGTAATTCTCAGAACAGATTGGCAAGTTCACAGATTCCATGACAACCAGGGAATATAAGGCAGATGCTTGAAGGCAGGACAGCTGAGGCCTCAAAGACTTCCCACAGTGAAATAATCCTAAGCATTTGAAATAGTTATAATGGTTATTATGTCCCAGCTATCCTCAGAAAGCCCTGAAGAAAACTAATTAAATTTCCTCCAATGAAAGAAACCACAACACTAAGAAACTCACCTTACAGTTCTTCCACCAGTACTTCCTTTTGAGTTTTGCTGCACTACTTTCAAATACTGAGGCACCAGCCTGAAGTGCATCTGCCCGATCATCAAGCTCTGAAAGTTTCTGGTCTCGTTCCAGTACCTTGTCGACATTCACTCGCATAATATCAACCACCTGCAGAAGGAAAAACAGTAGCAGTAGTGGTAGCGGTAAACAGAGTTGCAAGTGTAAGAACAGTAACACAGCCAGAAAGTAACGCTGAGATACTACTAACAACCCTGAAACAAAGAATAAAGATGAGAGTAAAAAAAAAACAAAAACAAAACAGGTCGTTGCCTACTTAGAAGTGGGCTAAGGCATCATTTCAAGTAAAACTAAACTACATTTGCAGTACACTGCTCTCACTTGTTTTTGGAAGTTCTCTACTCCATCAAGATTATAGCAACCCCCTCCATAACAGCGATCACATGCTCAGTGGAAGGTAACTGCAAAGACAACTTAGAGCTACGTGTTGCTGCCCCAACGAGGCATAAAGAAGTTACTGCATGTCAGCAGCCACCAACTCTGTGAAGTCAGGTAAGGTTCACATTTTACATTGAACCCGCGCTCTGATTGTTCATTTAGCAGGAATTAAGAGTTGTTCTGGATCCTGTTGAGGTTTGTTTCTATGACAGACTTGTCATATGAAGTACAAGAAGTCTAGCAGGTCTGCTCCTTAGATGTCATAACCAAAGTTACACAGCTCTTAAATATAAAGCCATTTCATCTCAGCCCCAGCCCGTTTACAGATCAGACATCGCGCTTACATTGATTATTAGTGCCTTTCCAGTATCTGGTATTCCAAAAGCATCCACCCCTTCAGCAACATAAGCTTATCAAGAGCATCGCCGCAGCAGAGTAGCGCAAGCGCCCATACAGCCTAAGGGAAGCAGCACAGCTACTGACCTCCTCCACCTGGGCCTGCGTCTGCTGCAGCCGACGGTTACTGCTCAGATTGGGGGGTGGCCCCGGGGGGCCCCCGGCAGGGGCACCCCCTTCAGGGGCCCCAGGAGCAGGCTGCTGAGCTGGTTCAGACCTACAGGAACACACAAGGGCAGAAAGAAAATAACATCAGACCCTCAGCTGCTAAAGGACAGATGCCCACCCCGAGACGAAAGTGAGAGCAGGCAGCAGCCCCCGGGCCCGCAGCCTCCCTTAGCTGCCCCTGGAGCAGCTGCGGGCCGGGCCGGGCCGTGCTGGCACCGCGCCCTGCCAGCTCCCGAGAAGGGACGGAGGTGACCGGGAGGCGGCCCGCAGCGTACCGCAGGCGTAGGGAGAGGGACGACAGAACTGGGCCCCGCCAGCAGGGAGCCGGGAAGGGGGCTGCAACGAAGGGACAGGCCCCGCGCAACCTCTCGCGCTGCGGGCGGGCAGCGGGAGCGCCCAGGCCGAGGGGTGGCGGTGCGCGCAGCCCGGCCTGCGGTTGCTGCAATGCGCCACTCTCCGTGCCGCCGCTGGGCAGGCCGCCGGCCCCGCTCTCACTCAACCGCCCGCCCGCCGTCCCAACCCGCACGGCTCCTCGCACGGCCGCCCCATCTTCGGCCGCCACTTCCCACCCCACGGACACTCACATTCCCCCGGCCGGCACTCTGGCAAACCGCCGCGCACCGCGCTGACAGAAGTGCCCACACGCCACCTGCCGCCTCACTTATAGCGGCTGAGACCCCGCCCACGGGGCCGGCAGCCAGTCAGAAGTAAGCACAGGAAGGTCTCGCCGAGACCAGCGAATCAGCACCGCCCTCTCTTACTCCGAAGCCAATCGTCGCGCCTCGGCTCGGCCGCAGCGGGACGTCTGCGAAGAAAGCCGCTTCCCTAAATCCCGCCTCTCGCTGTCCCCGCGCTCCCCGGGAATGAGCCCCGGCCCCGGTTGGCACCGCCCCATCGGAGCACGGCTCAGCGCCGCGACAGTCCGGGACAGCGCGGGTGCTGCAGCAATCCGGGTATGGTGCTGCTGGCGTGCTGCCGCCGTGGAGGAAAACCTGAATGAGGCCTCGCAAGCGGCTGCGTTCAAGCCTTGGCTGCCAGCTGAGGGAAAATTAGGCTCTGGCAGCTCTGAGTTTGGCTTTTTCCTCTAGAGATTTTGGGAAACCTACCAGATGAGAAGGGAGCGTTCTTCCATTTGGTTGCAAAACGGAAAGCAGAAATATGCTAGGACGAGAAGTTTCCATGCAGCATTTTGTGCAGCAGCAAGCAATCAGGCCAGACCTATGCTGAACTACGTTTCTTTAGGGTGAAGCAGGACGTTGTTTAAAGTTTTTCATGACAAACTTGGATGATTAGTAGATACACGAGGCAGTATGTTGCACATTACAGACTCAGGGCCAAGAGCATGGGCTGCAAGGAATACAGAAAGTTAAAGCTGCAGCTACGCCCAGATGATGCAGACTCCCAAATGTCAAAGAATGCAGTTCAGTGTGGCAAAACCATGGGAATAACAGAGGGTGAAACTTGCAGAACTACTGGTTTGGTTCTCTTAGTGCATGTTCCCTTGAGGCCCACAGCGCTGATGCTCCTCAGTTTCTGATGTATTTTCAGCTACAAATTTGTTGCACCTCTTCCAGGTGCTTGCTTGGTCTCCACTTGAGTCTTCTGGCCATAGTTCAAGGTGGTTCACAAGCTGGATGTGAGAAGCATCAGACACAAGGTCTGTCCTCCCCTCAGATTTTGAACCATGCCTTGTTCTAACAGCATAACTCACCAATCTGACAGGTGGCTGCAGTCTGTGTTGGTCAGCCATAATGACCACAGCTTCTCTGGCTTGCTAAATTTGTCATTTATTTCCTGTAGGAGTAATAATCCACCTCGTACTGCTTTCTCAAGTGAAGTACTGCATATTAGAATAAAGCACATACTGTTTTAAGAACTGGGCTTCCTTCAAAACTGACTCACAGGTATGCTACACTGCTCCTGAGAATGTGGAATTTGAAGTTGCTTGAATAAAGAATTTGGGTTCACCTTCCTGAGGTGCAGACCCAAAGTTCTTTTCATTCCCTGCTGCTTTCAACCAAGTGCTTTTAAAGATAGAGCAACACTGCTCTGTAACAGAATATGTTGTCAGCAGGTAACCTCTCCAACTACCTAGCAGTCAAGCTATTATTTAGGCAGATGCATGCTCATCTTGGAGATTTTGTGCTAATTCTTCTGCAGCATATAACAGTAAACTTTATGAGAAAAAAGATGCTGGACTTGAAGGATCCCAACTTTGACTCACTGTGGCTTCTTCTCTCAATGGTCTAGAAGAACTTATGGAATACTAGAAGCTGGAAGTTTCACAAACCAGTTAAGTGCCTAAATTAACAAAAAGACACTTGCCTGTTAAGTGTCACTAGTTTGAGGTTTGTTGTGCTTTAACCCAGCAGGTGGCTAAGCAACACAGAGACATTTGCTCAGTTTCCCCCTTCCCAGAAGGATGTGGGAGAGAATCAGAAGAAAAAAAAAAAAAAACCATCAACCAAAAAAGGTAGAACTTGTGGGTATTCTACTTAATAGGATAAAGGAAAATAGTTATGAGTACATATATATATATATAAACATATATATGATATATATATATATTCGTTATATATGCATAAAACGAATGATGCACAAGCAATTGCTCACCACCCCCTAACCAATGCCAATGTAGCACCTTGAGTAATGGAAAAGAGTGAGATGAACTCCGACCCCCTTCAAAACTCATTCTGCATGATATCATGTGGTATGGAGTATCCCTTTGGCCAGTTTAATTCAGCCATCCTAGTTCTGTTTCCTTCCAGCTCCTTGGGCCTTTCCCTGGGAACTGCCTTGGCTCTATACAACACTGCTTAACAGCAACTATAAACATTTACGTGTTATCAACATTGTTTTCTTCAAGACTCAAAGACAGCATCACACCAGACACTCTGAAGAAAACAATTCTGTCCCAGCTGAAACTAAGGGAAGGTCAAGTCATTATCATTATGAAATACACACGTCCTGTTCTAAAAACACATTTTGATGTACTTCAGTTAATGTTTGTTTCATTTAGACTTGATAGCAATCACAGATATGCAGAGGTCAGGGGGCACGTAGTGAGCACTGAGAGGTATTATTGAGAGACATGCTCATCACTAACTTGGTAATTTGGCTTATGAGGAAAAATCTAAGATGACATGTACTGAAATTGCTGAGTAGGACACCGAAAACCTGGGGTTAATAAATGACTGAAAGGAAGCTAGAAGCCTGGCCAAAAACTGGAAGACTCTCAGATAATAGCTAAGAAATGCAGGTTGGCACTGTGAGAAGTACGTCAGACATGACTAAGGTGACTGAACTTCCAAAGAGCTCAGGCCTGGCGCAGCAACAGAACCTTGGGGCTAGGCCAGAAATACACAGCAGAGGTTGCAGAAAACACTAGGAACAAAGCCGCAAGAAATATGGCTTTATTCTGACTGTGACACCGCAAAACCCCACGCCACACCCATAGTCTCTCCTAGCGGTGCTTCCCAGTGCGGTTGAAGCGCTTGTACAAGAACCGGATCCTCTTTTTGAGATTGTGGTAATCATCCAGGAACATCCGATCTCCTACCATCTGCTTCTTGCGAATGCACCGCTGCAGCTCATTCCCCCGCCAGCCTCGCAGCCACCTGGGCCCCACTATGAGGTGCTTCGGGTGGACGTGGAAATCGCCTGAGAATAAAAGGGTCAAAGCTGAAGGCAGAATCTGGGAAAGGCCCTGATCACTCACTGGACGAGCTGCTCACTCGCAGCTGCTCCCGGGCGCCGTCCCCTCCCGCCCAGGGCCCGCAGCCGGCAGGGGGACACCTCACCCAGGATCCCCACGTTGTCGTAGACCCCGAACAAGGCCCGTTTCTCCGTCCATCGATCCACCTTCCGAGGCTTCGGGGGCTCCCTAACGCGAAAGTTGCGGGGCAGCCCGGCCAGCGGGGAGGTGATGGGCAGAGGGCGGCAAGGCTCGGAGCGCTGCCCCCCACCGCTGACGCTCCGCACTGCCTGGGGCAGGGCCGCGGCCCGGCGCACCAGACACCGCACCAGCGCCGCCATCTTGGCGGTGACCCGGACGAAGCGGAAGGAAGCGGACTGTGCTGCGCTAACGGTCGCTGTGGGAAGGGAGCCGACGATTGGTCGAGGCCCCGCAAAGGCCGCGGTGCTGCCGGCCGCTGATAGGCCGGGAGGGGAAATCGGGTGGGGCGAGCGCGATCCGCGCGCGCGGTTTCGAGCGCCTGTGGCCGCGGCGCCGTGCGGGGTTATGGCGGCGGCGTCGTGCGAGTTCCAGTTGCCCCTCGCCGCTGACGATCTGCTGCGGGGCGACAGCTCGCGTCACTATGTCGTGCAGGAGGTACTGTCTGTCCGCGAGCTGCCGCCCGCCATCGCAGGTAAGGCCCGAGCCCTTCCCCTATTGGGCTAGGCCTTTCGAGGTCCGGCCGGCCTAAGCCCGGGCAAAGCAGGCGCCGTCAGACCCGGCCCTGCCGGCGGTTCGCAGCTGTCCCCGCACCGCCCCTCGCTCACGTTCTCCTCATCTCCCCGTAGCCTTCCGAGCTGCCTTCCGGGGCCGGGGTGCGTTGGCTGTGCTGCAGCATTTCGACGCCGTTTACAGCCTGCTGCGGTAAGTAGCGAACGGCGGGACCTGGAGGCTGGAGGGGGGCCGGGAGCTGCTGCCTCTTTCCTGTGGCGTTTTCTTGCTGCCATGATAAGCTGTGCTTGCCCCACAGCCACTTCCGAGCCCTGGATACCGCTGCCAAGGAGGATGCCCTGGAGCTGATGATGCAAGGTGGGTGTTTGCTATCTCCGGGCAAAACTGGAGTCACAGGGAGGTTGCGCCCGGGCAGCAGTTTGATGATGATATAAAGGCTAATGTGACTCAACTGGCAGGGTTGCTCCTTCAGTCCATTCCAGTATACGGGTCTGTAATCTTGGTGGACAATGCAGAGCTGTGCGTGTTCGCTGTAAGGGCAGGCCGACAGAAAATCCCCTTCCCTGTGTCCCTGGGAAATAAATCCTTGGGATGTGTCAGTTCTGAGCAAGTGCTTCTAGGAACTGGCTGGTGACTGGGAAACAGGATGGGAAAGTGCCTCTGAGGTTTTGGCTGTAGGGGGCAGCCCATGTTACAGCTGGTGAGATGTGAGCACACATCTTTGGTAATCTGATGACTGCTCTAAGTCTCCAACGGAGAGGATGGCTGAGGAACCTGGCAAAGAACGTTCATCTTTTTCTATCTTTCTCCAGTGGTGACTCATCATTCCAATGAGCTTTCTACCATCTTGAGTGATTCTGGGCTGAGCCATACAGACCGAGATGGTCACCTCAATGCTCTTAAGATGAACTGCTATTTGCTGTGTGGCCTGTTGGAAGCCTTTGAAATGGAAGCCTTCAAGAGTGGTTTGGCGGAGGTGGATCCTGCTGGAAAGGTGGGTGAGAGAACTGGGGAGAAAATGAGATGAGAAATATAGGAAGTCTGTAAGCTTGCTGAACTCTGTGTCAAAGAGTGTAGCTGGGTTTGTTTAAGCATGATGATGGGAAAAGCAGTGCCTAATGTGGAGTTCTGTAAAATCCTTTCTGGAAGACAGACAGATGTGTGTCTAAACATCAGCAGAGATTAAAATGACCAAGACAAGTTTGGTCCTTAAGTGGCTACCTGGCTGTCAGTATTTTCTCGAGTTCTAT